GATTTTGGTGTGGGGGTCGGTATCAGTCTTTGGCACTTGCGACCTTTAATTTGTTACTTGCAAAACGAGCGCGGAAACCTACAAATCTATCATAAAGGCTGCGTTTCCTGATTTTTTAAATACTTTTCACTTTATCAAATGGTCTTACCAGCAGGATAACGCTCCCATCATACAGCTAGGGTGGTAAAAGAGTGGATTAAGGCTCAAAATGTGGACTTACTTGAATGGCCCCCATATTCACCTGACCTTAATATAATCAAAAACGTATGGGGGTTGCTATCGCGCAAGATATATGAAGGAGGCAGGTAATTTTATTGCAAAACAACTTTAGCTAAGGCAATAAAAACAGCCTGGACAACAATTTCACTGCAAATACCGCACAATTTGTATAGCTCGCTTCCCGATCGTGTATTTGATGTTATATCGGACAACGGAGGGTTCACTTTTGATTAAAATTAGTAAAATGTACTTTAAAAATGTTCATAAGTATCAGCTAAGTTCAAAAAATATGAATATTATCCTTAGTTACCTAAATAATGTTATTTGTTTTAGGTTGAACCTATTCAGATGACCCAAAAAAAATCATGAATTTTGTTAACCTTTCAGAAGAAAAATTATATAAGGAATAAATAATATGTTTTTGAAAAACCTTCTTCAGCATTTTATTATAAAATGATTCAAGAGTTAAAGAAAAAAAATTATGGAAATCGGTTCACTGGTTTAGGAATTATAGACAAATTACTTCCTCTGAGATCATGAACCTATTCAGTTGAGCGGCAGTGTAAAATTATAACATCGTTGTTTTTCATCAGACAAGTATGATTTTTGGAATATAGAGTTTTCTTACGACTCTTGAATTACGAATTAAATTTGATCAAAATCGGACAACTATATCGTATAGCTCCCATATGATCTATAGTCAAAAATATGGAAAATGAATAGAAAAATCGTCTTAGCTTCGATGTTGTCTAGCCTTTATGAGTTTTGTTCGACATATTTGATGACTGCAAGGGTATATAAGCTTCGGCTTGCCGAAGCTAGCTTCCTTTCTTGTTACTATGTTTATTACTTATTTTTCTAAATTTCTCTATTTTTTCCATTACTTTTTATATATTTATTATTTGTATTAATATGTAATATATTAATGTATTATGGTTTTTATTTTCAGAGTCACTCAGAAACGACATATCAAGATGATCTGCGTTCACCGTTCACTAAGGCAAAAAATAAAACATACAACAATACTTTTGTCATAAAGCCCTTGGACTGTAAATAGATTAATAAATGCATATACCAATTTAAAAAGTATTCTTTTTTATTGCTGTTTTGCATGTGGAAATTCTGAAAAGCGGGAAGGCCAAAAACCAGTGGATTTTGTCCTGCGTTAGGCAGCAGGATTTCCACTGGTTTTTTCAGTACAAAAACCAGTGGATTTCCACTGGTTTTTTCAGGACAAAAACCAGTGGATTTTGCCCTGCTTTCGGCAGCTGTAGATCCAGTGGATTTTGCCCTGCTTTCGGCAGCTGTAGATCCAGTGGATTTTGTCCTGCTTTGAGCAGCTGTAGATCCACTGGAAAACCTCCTCTACCCCTGCCTTTTGTGTGTCACCCCCGTGTATTTGGCAAGGAGAGAAGGCAGAAAAGGAAGGGGTAGAGGAGGTTTTCCACACATTTCTTGTATGAAGAAAGCAGAGGAAAGAAGCATATTTTCCACAGGTTTTTTCCCGCTGGGTATGGTTGTGTTGATCCCTTTAAACAATAAACTATTCACGCACACACACACATAAATACACGCACGACGGAAGCCATGGAAACTGTGGCGTCAAGTGAGTAAAAACGATTTGTTTTAATTGTTTAATTGATATCCGGACTAAAAGCGATTATACTCCTACATCTGTGTTGTCAATAAAACGTTAAATTAAAGCTTCTTTGCTAAAGCCTCTTTTATTTGAGCAAAGAATTAGAAAGAAAAACATATCTAAATCATACAATTGTATAGCAGCCATCTCATATTTAATTACTTATTTATTCGTACAAGGAAACCATAAAAAAATACTTCAGATGAAAACTTTTTATTTTGTTTAGTTGATTTGATGAAATGAATACAACTTTTTGAGTTTATATTCCAATGGCTTCATAATGAGGAAAGCGTTTATGTTCGAAAGTTTTTTCGTTTTGTATCCTAATTAGATTTCTCAAAGGAATCCAACACCTTTGCCACATTCCCAAATGATCAATGCATTAGCATAATACTCGCATATAGACAGCGTGTGAGGTCAGAAATGTTCGGACATTCGGGATGCTTTTGATGGCACAAAACCCCCTCCTGATTCTCTCTCCTCGACGCATCAACGATACGACAGATTCCAGTCTGTCTGCATATTTGATACTTTGATCATCTGAGATGAGTGGAAATGGGAAGGCAGGGAGGTGTGTTTTGCACAAACAAGAAAAGTGTAAGCGACGATGCCAATCAGTCGGTCCACACAGCAGCCACCTCATCATCGGATACGATGCCGTGTCCTTTGGCAATGCTAATGTCCTGCACATAAGCGTTATTATGTGGACGTCTCTCTCTCTCTCTGACTCTGCTTTTCCCATTCCTGAATCTCCATCGAAAGAGCTCCAGTTTCGCATGCAGTAATCTAACCATCATCAGGAGACCCATCCTCGTGTCCAGTGCAACATATTGACCAGCACTTGTTTGCTTTTTTATTATTGCTTTTGCCCTTCCCCCCTCCCCCCGTCCCCCTCTTCCTGAATCCTTCCAATCTTCGGCTGCCGGTCTACCCATCTGTGGATAAATTTATGCACATTATTTGTCCTGCTTGGCATGTCGCGTTGATTTTTGCGCAATCCTTTTGCACATTTCCAAATGCCATTTGTATGCAAACTAACTGCGCTGTATGCCTCCATGGTCATCGTGCCATCATGCCAACCTCATCCCCATCCTCATCCGCATCCTCATTCCAGTCTTCATCGTGATTATGATTTTGGACTTCAGCTGCCAAAGCAAGACATCAAAATGCAGCGGGGAAAAAGGGAGAGAGTTCCCGGGAAATTGGCCAGAAGGGATGGAGGATAGCGGGTGGAAATTGTGGATTTATGGCAATTCAGGATTTATCTCTATGTCGCAATCGGTGCTCTTGTGCCGTGGATGGGCCCCAACGAGAATTTGAGTCGGCAATGCGACATTTTTCAATATTAATTCTCTCTGTGTAACAAGTACTTGTGTCTACGTTCTCTTTCATATTATTTTTTTATTGGAAAATATTTGTAAACCAATTAGCCATTTTAAAGCAAGAATGGTTAGCCAATAGTGCATTTCGATTAATTGTAAATAAATTGCATATAGAATCCTTTGTGTACGAATGTATATGAAGCAATAAACACAAATATTTTACAAGGTAAATTAACTTACATAAAAAATATAGACAAAAAAGTGTAAATGTATATAGACACAATAATTGGAAACGCTTTATCGCTCCAATTATAATAAATGTTATTGCCTTCAATACAGACTAGTTTAAATTACATTTTTTGGTTAACAGCCAATATAAGTTTGATTTAGTGGGAATTTTTCTGTTTTTTGATCATTTATTTTTTGCTTTGAACGTTATTCACCTGCATTCATCTTTGTGTTCGGAGAAAATCTTAAAGCTGTGACAGATGCACAGTTTCCCAGCTCGCTGCAAGTATCTTTTTTGACGCATATTTTTAATGCGAATAATAACTGCCGACTGCCTTTGTGTGTTTGGCAAAAAGGGAAATTTGCATATTTGATTAATTTGTTTGGCATTTTGAGACCACTTTATATTCATGAATTTGCAAATTAGACGGCGTTAGGAGCGCCCGGCATAAATGTATTTTCGCATCGTTAAAAAAGTTCGAAAAGGAAAGGCGGGGCTGTCAAACCGTATTGGTAGTATGTCTGCCTTGGGCATTGGAAAAATATAAATTTGGGGGAAAAGTGTGACTGACTTTCGGGCGATAAATGAAGCGAAACTTTCTCGATAATTGCTGGTAATTCCCGTGTGGCTGGGAAACAAGTTTCCACCATTTTCTTCTACCGAACTTGCCGTCTCTGTCTGTCAAATGTGCAACAGCTGCGGGCAAAGTTAAACAAATAATAAAGTTTTTAATTATAAGCAATGGCAGGCAGGGCGGAAAGTTTATTTTCTTGATCGTATCGAAGACTTTTCCAGGACTTTTCCTCACCCTTCGGCAACTTTGCCTTCCATGTGTGTGCGGAAAATGGAAGTCAATGAAATTAGTGCCAGCAGCACAAACTCATATACGAACCGGAAGTGTTAGTCCTGTGACATTTGCATGACTCCTTGCCACGCCCCCCCGCTCCTTCACCCACGCCCCCTTTCTCTACCGACATCCCGCAGCGAAGTATGCAATAAAAAGTTGGCCAGAAACTTATTGGTTTGCCTGAAATAATCAAGAAGCGGAAACTCAAACAATTTGCGGTGCGACTGAAAGTGCAGCTCAAGGTTTATCCGAAGATTCCCCCCTTTTCGCCATTGGTCATTGACTTTGGGGCTTTCCGATGTGCGTGAGTGGAAAAGTTTCTGGCCCCTCAAACAATGTTGCGCATTTTCAGGTACGGTTTTCATCAAAGTAGTGGAAAGAAGGGAAAAGTTCGAGGATGGCTGAGTAGCAGTCCTCTGACAAGGTGGAAATTTTTTATTAACAACACTTAACATTTATTGTTGGCGAGTTGCTCCACTAAAATACTATAAAGTAATTAAGAACAAGATAGAAAACATTTTAGCAAGCCATTGGAAACTTAAAAAAATTTGACAAGAACAAGGGTCTAAATTTCGACCATTGGAAAATGAATAATTTTGAATGCAGTTGTATCAATGATGCGATTACAAACGTTTGGAAACGGACTAAAATTGTAAGTATATAGTTACTATGCTGAAAACCATTAAAAAAGGAAAAAATCTGACATGAATAGGGGCTAAAATTTCTGGCTTAAAATTACGAAAATGGGATGGAAATATTTTATTTACAACACTAAACAATTATTGTTTACGCGTTTCTCCACTGAACTACTATAATAGTAATGAAGAAAATTAAATGCATTTTTGTGTTGTATCTAAAATTATTTCTGTTCCTCCTCATTTTCCTTTGGTTCGACAATGTTTTCTATCCACTTATCCCAGGCCACCTTCCACTTTTCCATAGCCTTCGCCTTGCCCTCGTCCTTCAGGGCGCTGTATCGAATGGAGTTCTTGGCGGTTCGCTTGAGGAACTTCAGATCGGCGTTCATGGGTGCGATGCCCAGGAAGGCCATGTAAATATCGTGGGAGAGAGGAGCTGCTCGCCAGAAAGCCGGATTCCCGGAGCAGATCACCATGGGCACATTCTCAGCAATGAGTGTTGCTGCCGGATGACTCCGGTAGTCGGAGCCCAGTTGGAGCACCTGGTTGGAGACGGGACACACTTCCAATGCGATGTTGAGGTACTTGGCCAGTCGCATGAGGACCGGATGCTTGGTGATCGTGTATCCGTGGCTGATCCTCTTGGTTCCCAGCACAATGGCATCGAGCAGGTTCTGGTCCACGTGGGATCCGTACCAGTTGGTCTGGCCCGCGTGGAAGTAGAAGTTGATGTTGTCCGGCAGCTTGAGCAGCTCCTCGGCGAACTTGCTCAGCGGATGGCCCTTATCCTCCTGGCCAACCAGATCGAAGCCAATCACAAAGCCGGGGAATTCTTTCTGAAAGAATGTATATCATATGATACCATTAAAGTGTTCATCTTAATGCATGATTGCATTACCAATGGTTTAACTATTAAAACTCACATTAAGTTCAGTGCACTCCTTGACATATTGACCCACCGCCTCCGGTTGCACATGACGAATTGGAGCGTAAATCAGCTTGGAGTCAATGAATCCTGGGTTCTCCTGCTTGAATCGCCTCAGGGTGTCCTTGTATATTTGCACCGTTTCCCGTTTGGGCAGCCGACTGCCGTCCAGACAGTAGAGCTCCGGTACCACCGATCGCACCTCCAGGTACTGCACTCCATCCGCGTAGAACTCCTTCAATCCGTTGTAGAAGTAGTCGCCCCAAAGGGGAGCGTACCGTAGCAGACCGTCGACCAGATCGAAGATGCCCATCATGTGGCGCCACGCATGCGCACTTGTAGCAAAGCTAGCCAAAGGATACATGCTGAGTCGCACCCTTAGATACTTCCTGAGGTTATCCTCGCCCCTCAGCTCGCGAAGCTTCTCCATAGGCTGCCACTCGCCTCCCTCGTGTTGGATGTCCTTGGGTCGCTCCTTGGCGAATCGGAACTCCACCACATGGCAGCCCTCGTGGGTGGTGCACGCCCACAGATTCTCGCGGTAGGTCATCTCGATCACCGCTTTGGAGCTGCACATGGAGGTGTCGTGCACCTTGAGCGCTGCTCCCTTGGGCATTTTGGTCAGGAGTTGGAACAGGGGCGACTCCTTCACGGTGTCGAGAACCTGGAAGATGTGGTGACCCGGCGCGAACTTCGTGGGATCCAGGATGCCCTTCTCGTACTCCTGCTTCTTCTCGTGCATGATCAGCTCGTTGGCCGCTCGCTCGGCCAAGGTCAGCTGAATGTCGTTGCCCACGCCGGAATACCGCTCGAAGGAGTTGACGATCTCGCGCAGGATTCGATAATCCTCGGGAGTGCTTCTGCGCAAATTCATGGAGGGTCCCAGGAACTCAAGCAGGGTCATCACATCTGGGTGGTGGTGCAGAAAGTGGGCGGCCATGGGCGTGGCAGCAAGGCGCCATCTTCGACCCAAAAGGACCGCCATCTGCTGCGCAATTTTGTATATTTAGTCAAGAACTGAAATTTTTGTACATTTTTGGAATTTGGAAAGACAGGAATATCAATACCATCAATAGTGTATATTGAACATATAGCTGAGTTTGCAAAGTATCCTCCATAATCATTCATCATGTAATATTTTTAACCATTTTTGACTTTCCATTGCCCAACTGACATTTAAATGATTGAGTTATAAAAGTAAATAAAACAAAAGAGAAGTTTACATGGTCAAGTGAATTCTGAAGTTGGAGTGGTAATAGAGTTCTCTTAAGCTACTTATTTAATTAAACCACTTTATTTGAGAGACAAAAGAAATGTGTCTTGACAACCGAATACTTACTGATCCTTTCAGGCAATTTACGAGGAGTTCCTTTGAAGGAGCTTACGATTTGCATTCCAGACGCTGTTTGCATCATCCCCTTGTCAATCGGGTCTGAACCCCAACGATTACAAGATGCCCAAAGGCCAACATACACACTCACACACACACACAACCGAACCCTTACACACACACATATACATTAACAGTGAGGCAAAGATTTATCTAACAAACTAAATGGAGGAAAACTGAACTCTGCGCCTCACTTGGTTACAGAATATATACAACATTCTGCTTAAGTGTTTTTTCAGCAGCATTACTTTGCTCTCTCTCACACACACACACACATATATATACTCACATGTAACTGTGGGACACGTCCTTTTAGTATCCCTATGTGTGTGTGTATGTGTGTGGGGGAAGTGCAGTGAGCCCAGAATTTCCCGACTTGCCCTCGGGCCCATGAAACTTTTCAAGTGTTAACGAGTTTTGTTGCACACATGTGTCGATTGCATACGTAGTGCACTTAACTCGCAAACTTGAACGACATTTAAGCATTTTCCCCAATTGTTGTTGTTGTTGCTGTTATAGCTCATGTTGTTGTTGTTGTTGCTGTTTTTGTTGTATCTGTCGCTTAGCAACAACAACTACAAAGAGTTGGCGAAAACGAAAAGAGTTCGGCAAGTGGCAAACTGATATGCCTGTTGTTGTTTGCCGGAGAAGGAAATTTGATTTTGTGCAAAAACAATTTGCATCTTAATTGTGTGCCACATGCCAAAGTTGGGAAAATCTGAAAAAGCAGCTGACAAGCGCTGGGAAAAGTGAGGAGTGAAAACTGATAACCAATACTCACAGTATTGGTTGCAAATTTCTCTTTAATTACTGTTGATCACTTTCGGTTCACAGAATAAACAGAAAATAATTTGTATTTTGACTTTGGCAAACTACCAGAATGATTTCGAGTTTATTGTATTGGCGTTCATTAAAATTCAAAACGTACACGCTTGTTGGTCTAAGTTTTTTGAAATTTGTATCTGCTTGACAAGAGAAACCAGAAATTATTCGGTTAATTAAAAAATGTAAAATATGTATGCAATATTTATGCTGCACTTTTCTGTTTTTTTCGTTGGGAAAATACCATTTAGATATTCTTTAGTGGAAAGTAAAGTACAAAATTCTGCCAAATATCACATTATAATTAACTGCCGAGAAGGAATCCCATTATAGCACTGTCCATTATGTACCAGATATTAGCAAAGAATTTCTGAAGTGTTGGGCGCTCATTTTGCAGGGATTCATTCCTTCTATTTCCCATTCACCCGCAGCGTTTTGGCAATTCAAATCGAGCTGCTCTACTCAGCCACAGCCGAAAATATGTTCATTTTCTACATCTGCAGCCCATTTTCAGCTGCCATTGTCTGACAGGACCACGCCCACCGCCCACTGCCCAACACCCACCGCCCTCGAAAAACACTCATACGCCCCGTAGGAGGCGTCGTCGTAACATCTCTTTTTCCATCTTTTCCTTCTGCGTGTGCGTTTTTCTTTTTCTTTTTCGTTTTTTTTTCTGCAGTTACAAATTATGCTCATATAAATTTTTATAAAACATTTCTGCCGTTGCCATTTTATTTTATGTTTCTTTTTGTTACAACTGCGTCTCACACCCACACCAACACCACGCACACACACACATACAGTGGCTGGGAAAAGTAGGCAACGAACGCCTTTTCAGTTCAGTTCCTTTCAGCTTGCCCAGTTTTTCCGTTGGGTTGTCTGCTGCAAAAATGAAGAGCAATTCACACTTGAAAAGTTCCAACATGCGTTTTTAAGTTGCCCCAAACAACTATTATCTGGATCCCTCCGCCATTGCCACTGGAGTGTGCTTTCTATTTTTTTTTTTTTTTTTGGGCCATCTGAACCTCTGAATATTAAGCAAAATGTGTGGGAATATGACGCAGTTCTCGGGACCATAAAAAAGGGTTCGGTGCTCCGCTGGCCTGTTTATTTGCCTAAGCTGACTAATTTAATATGCATAAATGCCGGCACATGTTTCATAAATGGCATTTTAAAGCGGCGCCCTGACCGAAAATGGCTTCATTATCCGAACCCAACTTCGAACTAATGGTTCTAGGACCAACCGAACAATTTAATGTATTGCTAGTTATAAAGTTTATGCTTTGAATTTTTAGAATTGTTCACATGAAAAAAGATGAATTGATGTTGCTTTAATAGGAGATTGCAGTATATTAAGTGCTAAAAAAACTACAGCTCTTCAGTGCTTAAAAAAAATCATTTCAATTCAATTTTCTATAAAAACTCATATTTATTTGGTTAGACATGAATGCTACTGCAAATACAAAAATTAAAGGAATTTGTGCTTTAAAAGTATTCTCAATTTGTGATAAAAAGTTTTTGCTGCACAAATATTTTCCGAATACATACTGATTGTATGTGAGTTGTACATGTGTGCAACAACTTCCGGTTTGTGCAACCGGGGACAAATGTACTTCCGCTTGTTCAGTAGTTGCATAAAAACTGTTGCATGCTTTTGTGCGCAGCCAGAGATTTGCCAACAATGAACTCGAAATTAAATGTCATAATTAAACTGGCAGCCGCCACGGCGAAATGGCGAGATGGGAAAATGGAAAAATGAGAGAGAGAGAGATAGGGTAGAAAGAGTGGGCAGTCGGAAAATTGTCAAAACGCTGGCGATAAGCCGCAGTCGTGACAGTTAGACGCCGACCAGACAACAGATGCTTAAACTCTTTGCCACAATGTGTGCATTACCCGTTCCGGGAATCGAGTTGCCGAGTTGCCACCAGTGGACGTGGAGTGCTGGAGTCCAGGAGTCCACTCCTGAGACAATGGCCCCCCGGAGATCCCATCATCAGGACTTAGCTGCCAGCTTGCGGCTGTCATTTTTATCTCGGCCCCATTGTCACTCGCACAATGGAGCCAGAAATTTGTGCCTTCATTATCATTTCGACTACTGCGAACTCCTGTTCCTCCTGAACAGGACTTGTGTCCCTCAAAATTGATTTGTCTTCTCCTCCGGCACGTAATCCCCCCACTCAACCACTCAGCCATTCACCCACTCACCCACTCGCTGAGGGGCAATTTACATTTTGTCGCGTTTGAATTGCGCGGCACGTTGTTGCCTATTTGAATTATGTCAATAGAATTGCGCCTTCAATAAATGTCAATGGGCGAGGCGATTGATGAAAGACGCCACAAAGTAGGCAACAGTTTTTATTTATTTTCTTTTTTTTTTTTTTTTTTTTTTTTTTCGATATTTATTATTGTCGCCGGAATCGTTCAGGACCATCTGAGCATAACCGGGCGTTTAGAAGATGGGGTAGGTGTGGTACATATGGGATATGGACCTGGGCTATGGTATATACAAATATTTACAACTATTTACAATAATTTACAATTATTTACATATCTTTACAAAAATTAGTGTACAACACGGGAAGACAAATCGCTGGGGTGAAATCTCTTTAAACGCCTAAGAGTTTGCGGGTCGGCCAGCCTGCCTGCCAGTGGATTTGGGTGGCTCGTTAGCCTATCCGAGTAACGCCGGCTGCGTTGGTTTAGGAGGTCGCCCACAGGAACAAGGCGTAGATCGTTTTGGATGGCCTGGTTTGTCACATACCAGGGGAGTCCCGATGCCCGTCGAGCAGCACGTGCCTGCACTACCCTCAGTCTGTTTAGCTGGTGCTTGGATGCGGTGCCCCATACCTCGATAGCGTACGTCCATGTTGGCGTAAGGATTGCCTTGATGGTAAGATTTTTTACATTTGTTATATGTAATTTTATATTTACGAAAGACAATTTATTCATGTCTGCGAAATGATTGAAGTACAGGGAAAATAAAATTACGAATTTACTGACAGGCAGCAGCTATTTTGAGATCTGGATGGATATTTTCTGTGTTTCTCTTTTTAATGTAAGCATCTTGTTTATAAATTTTAAGGTGCAGTAAAACCTATGTGGAATAGCTTGTGAAACCTTAAAAACCAAACAATCTGCACATGAAATCACGTTATTGGAAAACAGAAAAACATTTTTTGTGCCAGCAGGAACAGAAAAAGTCCTGCAGATGTAGACAAAACAAAGAACATGGAAAGCTTATTGCTTGCAGTGTTTCTGTTTTGCACATAAGCAAACCCAGAAACTAAAGCTACACAAAGCCATTGGGGAAAACAACGAAGCCAGGGAGTACTATATAGATTGATCAGGAGTCTGTGGAAGCAAAGGTAACAGAAATCATAGAGTGCCATGTAAGTGCACATCCATAAGCTGCAATATGCAAACCACTTTTACGTTTGATTTGTTTTCTCTTTCGATTTTCGCCCAAGGAAAAAGGATTTCTGCGCTCGATGAATTTACAAGGTAATTTATACAGAATTTAAAGCTTTATTTTCGTAGTTTTCAAGGTGTTCGAGGGATCGGGTTAAATGACTTCATCTCTGACCGTCAAAATCCCCGCTCGACATTTAGCGCATCGCCCTCATTGCCAGCTTAACGTTTAATGGCGCACTTTGACTGCCAAATGGCGGCGGGTAACCAGAGCTCCGAGTTCGCGACAACATGTTTACAACGCTGGAGTAATAAAACGAAATTATAAAATAATATTAACAATCCGGCAGCAACATTTAGAGCCGGACACGGAGCCAACAAAGTGTGTAAAGTGTAGCCATCTGAGGGAAACTCAAAAAAAAGAGGGAAACAAAAACGGAATGGAATGGCGAACCCGTGGCGTTTTACATTTATGGTTATGTGGGTGCAACTACACGTGTGTATGCACTTTATATATACGTATGCCCAGCTTATGGGCTAAACTGCAGCAAATGGGTGGAAAGGGGGGAGGGGGAAGGCGGAGAGGGGAGGAGGGTGAGTATTGCACACTGGTTGCACTAAGAGTGCACGTGTAATTAAGGTCAGCTTCGTCGTCGTCCAGCTAATTGGCCGAGCTGTAAAGCAAAGGGGCTTGCAACTTTGTTGGTCATAACTAAATTTGTTTGTTTGCCCTGCCTTGGGGTCCGAACTAACCCCCTCCCCCTCACTTTTCCCCCATTTTTCCTGGCATTCTGGTACTCCGGTATCCCGTGCTCTAACCACAAAAAGCTTTTAATCCAGCCAGCAACTGGACAGGCAAAGTCGTAAAGCCTTATCATAATCTCCCTGACTAGGGACACATAAAGCCTATTCGACTGGGCAGAAAAAAAGGCAGGAGCTGCGGATAATCGTCTATATCCTGGAATAACAAGGAAAAATAGCCAATTTGAAAAAGGTTGCTAAGGGGAAATAAATAAAAATCGAAGTGGAATAAGCGTTTTTCAAGGGTTACTTTAATTTTGGGTTCGAGTCTTGAAATTAAATAATATAAAATACTATTCATTTTGTATAATATTTAACCTTCTCATAGGATACTTTGCATTCCATTTCGTAAACTTTCACCCACATTTTGAGCTCAACTCTCGGTGACATATATCTCACTTTACTTTCCCCAACACAAGAGTAAATTCCCTCACACAAATAAAGCAAACAAACATGGTGTCTATTACTCACGAAAAGCCACAAGACCACACACGAAAAAAGGGCAGGAAGAACTTTTATAATAAAATTATTTGTTTGGGCACAGAAATAGACAACTTTTCAGCCATACATTTCATTTGTGCGAAATGTCGCTCAAGGGCATACTTTTGGCCAAAACAGCAGCCGGGACAGGAATGTTTGGCAAGTTCTCAGCTTTGTTTCTGGAAGCTTGAAGTCCTTGGACTTTTGGTCCTTTCAGGATCGCTTTTTGTCAATGAAAGGGGCTCCACAATTAAACACTCGCTGGCAGACTAAACATTTGCATTTAAATAAAAATGCATTGGACTTTGTTGGCGCTTTTTATTAGCCATCGCTCCAGTTGGGCTCCTTTGGCCCCCAGGATTCCCCTGCTTGTCTGTTTGGCTGCCTGGCGCCAAAGTGACTTTCAATGTAAACGTCAGAGCTTTGTGCTGTTGACATTTTGCGCCGCCAGACGACAACGTCACAACATCCACATCCAACATCCTCCACGACGCAGACGACGGCAACAATTTGCGATAAACATCTCAGCGGCATGCAAATCCCTTTTACGAATTGCACAGGAGGGCTCTTCAGCTCTAAAGGGCTTGGTGGGTGGAGTGGGAAAATAGGAAAATATGGGGAAAAAGGTCCTTGCTGCCAGCCAAGAATTAACCATCAAGCATTCCTAAAAATCACTAGCAATGCTATATTTTATCCGGCTTAAATTCGTGGATTCAGGAAAATCATAGCATATCACACATTCAAACTAATTTTAAATTTATTAATCTTAAAGGGTATTTTATAATTTATTTATAGTATGCATTTAATGGTTTTGGTTTGCTATTTATTTCACAATTAGTTTCCAGTTAATATATTACCGACTAATTATCAAGCTTTATTTGAACACAAGTACTTAGTAAATAGTTGAATGGTGTATAAATACTTCATTAAGTTAAAAGAGAGGTGTGTTGCGCTTGTAGTGATGTAGGATCGTCATTATATATTTGAAACCAAAAACAAAGTGTGAGTGTGTGCAAGCTACTTGTTCCGCCTGTAGATTTGTGGATAAATCTCAATCCGAGTCCAACGAACGAACTGCATTCATGCCTGGAAGTGTTGCTCTAGTGGTTCATGCTGCAACTATTGGTTCATGCTGCACTAGAGGATTACGATTTGTTCTTGCGACGCCAGTAGGCCCACACGTCGCACAGGTTGACCTTCTTCTCGCACTCGCACCACGGGATGGGGTCGAGCAGGCCCACCTGGATGCACTCCGAGAAGCTGGGGTACTGCGTCCGGCGCTTCTTGCAGCAGGAGGGGATCCGTCCGACGTCGCAGGAGGGTGGCCTCCTGCCAGGCGGACACCCGGGGGCGGAGATCTTGCAGCAGGGCCACTCCCCGATGCGCGGCACCTCGATCAGCTTCTCGGGCTTCAGGCGAAAGTTGACGGGATTCATGTCCTCGTCGCGGCAGATCACCTCGGTGGCGTGAATGCAGCCGAACTTGCGCCTCGGCCGGTTGGGGTAGCACTTCTTGGCCTGGACAGCCGCCTTCGGGATGGGGTAGCACTCGCACCAGGTCCGCTGATACTCGCGCGTCGCCTTGTCGCTCGGTGTGTAGTGATCGAGGTCCGTCGGCAGCTCCATTTCGCCGCAGGGATCGTCGATGCACTCGGCCAGGGGCAGCTTGAGGCGCGGCTGGTTGCAGCGATTCTCGGAGCGACGGAGCGCCATGTAGCACGGCGTCATTGCCATCTTCTTGATCTCGAGACGCCGCCGCCGCTGCGCCAGCTTCTTTGCCGTGTTGTAAGCCCGCTGCGCCGTCATCGCACCCATTTTGTGCTGCAGCAGCAGCGACGATGACTGCTGCAGTTGCTGGAGCAACACTCCCATCCTAATCGAATTTACTGCGAATTTTGGAAAGGAAACGGAAGCCGAAATGGTAGCCCGGACTTGACAAGGCAGAGGTGTTACACGTGTTTCCCAGTCGAACTCTGGGTACTGAATGAGCCTCCAAGCGAGTGGAAGTGCCGACAACTGATGGACTTTCTTTCAAAGGCCTACTTTGTTATGGAAATCAACTAAGGCCTTCTATGATTCGAAGAGAGGTTACTCGATTTCAAACAACGTAACTAAACTCTTTGTTAAATACGTATATAGCATTTTTTTGATAAGGTAACTCCACCAAATCAATTAAATATGTAGGAAATTAGTTCCTTAAATCCAATAAGTTCTCTCTAGCAAGTTAATTCCATTCTAAAATACTGCCCCTTAGATCCTATATTAGTTGTTTCCCATTTGTAAATAGCCCTTGCTGAATCCTATTTATGCAACACATAGTTTTTATAACTGATACTATTTTTTATATTTCACCAAAAACTGTATAAACTGTCAATTGAAATGATATTTATTTCAGCCAGAAACTGTTGTTCGAAAACGAGGGCTGTCGCCTCCCAGTCCCAATCCGAATCCAAACCAATCCTCCATCATCTAGCACTCGTCACGCGGCTTGGTGGGCTCGCAGGGCAGTCGCCGGTCGAGGAGGGCGTATCGGTAGACCAGGCACATGGGCGGCACCTCCAGGCAGCGGCACTCGATGGGCCTGCCCTTGCCCAGATCCTCGTGGTCGCACTCGGAGAAGGCGGGATACTGGCAGGGCCTGCGGCGACACCGCGAGTTGCGAGGGGCCAACTTGCAGTTGGTCTTTACGTTGGCGGGCTTGCAGTCGCACAGGGAGAACTTGGGGCAGGGACCTTGCTTGGCCTCCTGCTTGCAGGGCATCGGATTGATCGTCTTGCAGGGCTTCATCTTGGCTGCGGCACCGCACTTGTTGCTGATCACGCGGTAGGTGCGCTCCGGGGGAACCTTCTTGCAGCAGCGCTTCTGCTTGCGGAAGAAGCACTCCACCCAGTACTTCTCGTACTCGCGGTCCAAATACTTGCCCGGTGTGTAGTGGGTGTCGTCCAGGCGCACGGCCAGATCGCAGGGATCCTGGCAGTGGGGCTCCGGCTTGTACGGGATGTCGCACCGTCCATAAACACCCAGGTACTTGGGATGCTGGACGGCCAACTCCGGGTCCGTCTTGCAGGGATTCACCTGGCGGTAGAATGGCGGCACCTGCTCCTTAACCGGAAGACATTCCGCTTTCAAGGCATTTGTCGGTCGGTACTTTTCGCACTTCTTGGCCGCCTCCTTTTTCTCATTGCAAGTGGTCCGGTGACGACGGCTCGCAAAGAAAAGGGAGCCCAAATCGCCGGCTTTCGCCAGGCCCTTGACTTCGTTTAGGATCTGTGGCCGCAGGCCAGTCGCGTTTTTTGCCAAAAACATTGCCGGACGGAGAAAGTTTGGATGGGATAGTTTGGGAGAAGCGAAATTTGGGTCGTTCCCGGCGAACGATGAACTCTAAACTGAGCTCTGGGTTGGCAGGCAATCACAAGATGGATGGAAATCCAAGCCAAGGCCGCCTTGATGGGATACATTTCCCATTTGCACTTCAGTGGTTGCTTTACTCCACTCCGGGAAATTGGTTAAAAGTTTTCAGTGGTGTCGCAAATTGAACTCTTAACGGTTCACGGCCCAAATGGGTTTTTCCTGTTTGTTATGGAGTTAATTGCGAATGCATTCGATGCCGCCGAATATTGCCTTGATTTGACGGCAAACAATAAAGGAAAAAAATCGCGAATCGAGATCGCAACCTTCACTTTGCGAATTTTCAACCCAGCTTGTTTGCAAGTTAAAAGCAAACAGAGCGCAGCCATTCGGACGACAAAGCCTGGGTAAAAAAAAAAAAAAAACAGTAAGCCGCCTCCCCGCTAAAAAACAACAGAAATCCACTAGAATAAGTATACGCCGCGTTGTTCGCCGGGCAGTTTTCGCTTTTGCGCCGATATTTTCATTGGAGTCACTGCCGACTACCGACTGCCGACCGAGAGTGGCCATGCATGAGGGCCCCCCATAAAATTGGGTCAATTGCTGTTAACAATTTGGCAGCGCAATCTTTTGGCCGTTTCGATTTCAAGGCGCTCACTCTCAGTGAGCGAGAGCCCAAAAAAAAAAGGAATGGGAAAACAACACGGCCTATAAAAAACGAGCACGTACGGAAAAACCTTTTGGGCGGGGTGGTAAAAGAAAAAGGAAAACATTTTCGCTGGCCGTGGAAAATAGCCGCTGCAATCGCAGCTGACCCACGGGAAAATCCGCTGCGGGGGAAAACTCAAGTGGATGGCGGAAAGTTGAACCAAGTGGCTCACCATCCGCTATTCGCTAATTAATTAGTGCATTTGTTTGTTATTCATTTTGGGAAAGGGGATGGCTTAGTTCTTAAAGCTTCGCCCGAGCAGCTGGCCATCACTTTCCATTTAATCAACTGGGGAGAAGCCAGTCGACCCCAATAGCTCATCTTTTGTTGGCTTTGAGTGACTGCCAATGAAGTTACTGCCCTTAAAGCCGAAATGCACTCTAGTTCCCCCGATTCGGGGGAGTATAGTATCTCTCCCCGATTCGGCAAACGCAAACGCAGACGCAGACTGAGGAATGATTTCATTTACTTGCAATCAATGAAATTGCACTGATGCAATTTTGTTTTGGCCCCAAAATAAACAGGCAAGCGAAGCGAGTGGATTCGAAGGGGGATTGGAGCAGAGGGGATTCCTCAGACGAGAGATGGAGATGGCAAAATGTAACAGTTGCAGCAGGGAATCCTTTTTCGAAGGGGTCACCAACTCGGGCTGTCACGCTCTAGGAAGCTTTGGAAACTCGGATGCCTGGCAGTCATGGCAGCATTTGGTAGCCAGGAGCAGCTAATGTCTGGCCACAGTCCCCGAATCCCTCGATTCGCCGCAGTTTCTCATATCGCAGCCAGGCACGTAGTCAGTCAGCCACTGTGGATGTGGATGTGGATTCGGATTGGATGTGGATGTGGATTGGGTTCGAGACGCAGGGAGATTTGTGAACGATGTCAGCAGCACACTGCGTCACTGTCGAAAAAAATGGGTACGAATCGTAGGAGTAGGTGAGTGTTTGAGTGTGTTTGTCCCCCAAGGAGCTCATCCCGAACAGTATCCCTTTTTCTTTCCAGTTTGCCCATCCGACCACCGACTTCGGATGAGGAGCAACCCAACTCCGCGCAGAGTAGAAGTCAAACTAGATTGAGGTCTCGATCTGTGTCGGAGCCCCTGGTCCAAGCTTCTTCTGTCTGCGAGAATGAGGAAAGGACGTGGCCACCACAGGTGGCCGATGTGACAGTCGGCCCTGGATTCCCGGATTCGACTTACTCGACGCCCTCCTACAGTCGGTCCTATTGCTCAACGGGAGACCTGTCCTCCGGCCACGAAAACTCCAAAGACCCGCCTTTTCCCCTCATTCTTGTGGGTGCACCAAAGGAAACTGAGACTCCGGAGCAAGCGAAGATGGATCAAGGAACTTCTACTCCAATCGAGCCAATATCTGAAGTGCCTTTTGTGGAACCCACTTTGGCCAAACGACTCACGCTTGGCAAAAAATCAATTTCAGCTCCTGAAGAAGAATCCTCCATAAGTTCCTCTGATGTTCCGTCCAGCTTCCACAAGTCCACAATTTCAACGGTCCCGGCGTTGAAGTTCTCCTCCCTGAACGAAATCCAGTCATACTTGAGTGTTCGGGAATCGAAGTTGATTCAAAGCTACACTGAAACGTCGGAACTCTACGACAAGGAGGAGCCACTCATCACCAAGACGCAAAAGTTCTATAAAAAGAGTAAGTAGGGTAGCTAATTCGGAGAATCAAAGGAGTTCTAAATACCAAACAAGTCTAAGACGTTGTTATTTATTTTTATTTATTTCTTGTTTCTAACACATTCCATTGATATGATACAGGAGCCCCCTTGGTGCCACGATACGATTCGGACGACTCGTACGCCATCAACAAGGAGGTCCTTCAGCAGGACAACAGATCTATGAACAGTGTGGCATTCAACATGACAGCCGAGTCGGATAGCCCTGGATCCTTCAGCGATTTCGATGCGGAGAGGCGGAAGGACAGCGATCTGTGGGCTGAAACGACCACCTCCATGGAGTCCATCGATTTGGCTCGTGGAAGACGACTGGGTTCCGGTATGGTTTTTGTAAGTGAGTGGTTAGCATTCGCAGAGATGGAGAGCCACTTGATAAGTTAAATGGCCTGCAGATTTATATGGTTATTCCACCGGACGGCGGTTACGGTTGGCTGATCATGGTCTTCTCCTTTCTCGCCCAACTGATCATCGATGGCCTGATCTTCACCATTGGCAATTTGCTGCCGTTCATAGCCGAGGATCTCGGTGAACCGATGACTTCCGTGCTGTTTGTGGCCAGTGTGCAGATCGGTTGCTATTTCCTCAGTGGCATGTTTGCCGCCGGGCTGATAAATCGCTTTGGTTTTCGGGCAGTGGCCATCGCTGGTGTTCTGGCCTCCGCCGTGGCCATAGTGATTGCCAGTTTCAGCGTGAGCTTGATCATGCTGATCTGCTTCTACAGCGTCATCGGTAGGTGGTTGAGTAGATAATGGATGAATAACAATCCCAGTTCGCGCAGGTGGCGTCACACTGAGCATGATCTGGGCGAGTTCCCAGCTGATCGTGGGCTACTACTTCGAGCGCTATCGCCCGATGGCCAATGGGTTCTCCTGCAGCGGCGGTGGAGCCGGGATCGTTCTCTTCACGTTCCTCAACAGCTGGCTGGTGCCCATCATCGGCTGGAGGAACATGCTCCGAACGCAGGCGGGATTTGTCCTTCTAATTGCTCTCCTCGCCTTGGGCTTCGTGGAGGTGGCTCCCACCCAAGTGGGCTTGTACCACCACGCGGAAGCTGTGGAGTCCAGCTCGGATGAGTACTACGGGAACTTCTATGTCCACGACTATATCCGGCTCTCCAACCAGACGAACACCAATCAAAGTGCCATTAGCACCTACGAACCGAGTCAGAAGAAAAGTAGATGCGGCAATCTTTGCTCCTGCTGCAGGAGTCGCTGTGGCAAGAAGAAGACGGAGACGAAACACGAGGAGGAGCAAAATCTGCTCATCCGACCGGCTCCCATGGAACGGGAGGATCTTTTCTACACAGGTCCTGCGGAGTACGACAGACCACGCAGCAAGGAGCGACTCGAGGGCAAGGAGTTCCACCTGATGGGTACCGATAAAAATGTAAGGGGTATGCCTATATAAATATATCTCTTCGAAATATTTAGAATTTCTTTTGCAGACCCAGCAGGTTAACTACGGCATAGAAAGGATTCATGCGGACGATGAGGATGCAACTCGCTCTAAAAATCAGAGATGGAAGGCCCCACCTAAAAAGCCGGTGCCGAAATGGAGGCAAAGCCGATTCGTGACCACCTTGGTCAAGCTTTTCGACTATCATCTGCTGAAGAATTTCGAATTCCAGATCCTGGTCACCTCCGCCTTTCTCTATCCGATGGGCTTCAACATCCCCTTCATTTACTCGGGGGCAAGGGCCGAGATTCCCAAAAAAGTATGCCAGGATGATTGGTCCCGTCATCGGAATTACAAACCTATTGTTCAGGAATCTCCTGGGGTTTCTGGCCTTTAAACGACGCACTTGGCCAAGTGGACTTTATGGCTACGGTCTTATTTTCGGCGGAGGCGCTGTATTTGTAAGTGCCTTTTTTGGTCAGGATTTGATATGGTTTCAAATGTTCTATGGAGCTTCCTTTGCCGTCGCATCAGGTGGGTTACACACTTACTTACCTTTCAGAGATATTTATTTATAAAAATATAATCTTTTATCTTTTTCAGCGGTTTACTCCACCATGCGAGGACTTATTTATGTGAAATATCTGGGTCTTTCGAAGCTAACCAATGCCTTTGGAATTTCTTCCTTGGCCATGGGAATGGGTGTCTTTCTGGGCACCTCGATTGCCGGAGAACTAGTGGGCTCAACAAGAAACTATACACCCGCCTTCGGTTTTGCCGGAGTTTGCCTGATGTCCTCCGGTTTATTGGTGCTACTGCTGCCCGCTTTTATAAAATTGCGCAACCGGCGAGCCCATTGAGAATCTGATAGTTGGAATTGCAATATTTATTGGTTGTCCATCTTCGAAATCAAGATTTATTTTACAAAATGGGTTACGCTCTTTTTGTTAGTCATTTGATACATACACAAGAGTTATTGACTACATTACTGGTTATGTTTTTTGGTTGAACTCGTGTACCAAATTCTGAATAAATGCTTTTATATTACATTTTTGGTTCGGAAGGGAATTTTCTATGAAGGGTAAGTACAATTGAATTGTTTCTCAGAATTTAAGATTAAACCTCATAAAACTCTTTTACGAATGTAAATTGAATTTCACTTTTAAACTCATGCGATTGAATATAAACACGACTGTCAAACTGCATTTCAAAGTTTTAGACGCGGAGGCTCTAAAACTGTGCCCTTTCAATGTAATTTAATTTCGGGTTTTTCTTTTGGGGGTTGACTTTTATTGCAATCCATTTAAAGTTATTAGTTAGCTTAGTTTACATCTAATATTAGCTTAGTTGCTGAACAACACACTCTGGCTCCACGCTTATAGGTTCGAGTGTGTTGTGTTTGGTTTTTCATTTGGTTTTGTTTCCATTTTCCTTGTTTGGGTATGCAAATGTTCACGCTTCTTGTTTACTTTGATTTGCTTTCTAAACTTTGTACGTCTACTGTTCAATGTTTTTTTTTGTTTCAGTTTTAATATTTTATGATGATTTTTTTACATATTATTTAGAGCTAAAGCAACAAAAGGTCAAATCTAAACCAAAGTGAACGCATAAACATAAAAACTTTTAGAAAGACATCCGCCAGACGGATGGCTGCAATCCTTTTTGTCCTCTGTCTAAATCCTTTTTGTGTTTTAAATATTGTCAGTAGTCTTCCCCATCGTCGCCTCCAATTTATTCCACAATCCATTGATGTCTCTGCATTTGCCGGCTGCTTTAAAACCAATTTCGTATGATAATCTAAGTTTAAATTAAAATCTCATTGCGGGATGATCCACACTCCTCATGGCCTTGCTGGTCTTTCTTGTTCACACAGAAAAAGCAATTCTTACGCCTTAAATTAAAATTATATTTATATCGCCTGTGCCTCCTCCAAATGGCTCGTTCATGTGTCGGAATCGGACCTGCAATTGTAATGTGAAATAAATATGTATTTTATTTGTATACATTTTTTTGCCAGAAAAAAAATGCTGCCGTAATTGCAAAACGATTGTACATTTTTTCGTATATTTAACTTGGCACTTGAATGATTTAAAATATTAAAAGGAAAAAACTAAAAGATATGTTTGGTTTTATAAATGGAAAAATGTATTTAAAAATCTTTTTCTACAACATAATTTTTAAATTTTTACAAGATTAAAGCATTTCTTTGCCATTTTCTTTGTTCTTTTAGTGGAATATCGCAAGCACTCACCAATTAAAATAGGTCTGCGACCCGTGACAGTTGCGCTCGGAGCCGCACCACTTCGATTGCTGGAGCGCGGGGCAGGGTCGTCCGCCCCTTTTGCCGTGCTTGATGACCTTGCGGTTGCGATGCATCTCGCCGATGCCGCAGCTCTTGCTGCAGGCCGTCCACTCGGACCAGTGGCTCACGCGGCAGTCGCGGCGTCGCTGTTGCGAGCTCCGCCTGCGGGTGGCACCACCACCAACGCCACCTCCACCTCCCCCACCAGCACCACCCCCAGCGCCACCGACCTTGCCACCCGCGGGCAGCGGCGATAGCGAGGCCGTCGGACTGGAGGCGTTTAAATTGCTGGCATCTGTGGCACGCCGATAGCTGCTGGCGATGCTCTGCAGGATCGCATGCTTGTCGTTCTTCGGCACCACGCTGACCACCTGGCCAGCTCCGTTCTGGCCGGGCTGCAGGCTCATGTTGTTGCTGTAGCTGAAAGTGCAGAAAACATTGCAATTTCAATCGACTGGCTCAATGGCATTTCACTTAATAGTTGGTGAGTAATGAAGGCATATCAAAAATAACACTTCATTAATAGCATTTTCGGGTTTTAATTAAAACATTTTTCCGCTTTTATCATTGTATAAAAGCTAGCAACTATTTCTTATTCAATATGGAATTTAAAGTATTTCATATCTTTACTTAGTAGTTGCAAACAAATTATTTATATCAATAAGTTTCTCATTGATTTGAACTCGAATTTTTAATTTACTTTCTAATAATTAGTAAAAGCTTTCAACACCTATTTAAGTTTGCTTTTGTTAATCTCCGAAATTGGCTATATATTCAGGGCATAGACTTCATAATCTAAGCCCCAAGCCGACGTGCCCAGCCCCACTGATTTGCCTTAGTAGCTTAACTTGCCGTCGCTAAAAGACTGCCACATTACACATACGACCCGTGTGCCTCCTCCAACCACTCCATCCTCGCTTTTTTGGCAAAAGGTGTGCACGTTGCCTGCTCACGTTTGTTATTTCAGCACATCAACTGTGGAAAATTTCAATTTAAATTTGCCTTTTGCCAGCCTTCGTGTTGCCGTGTTGCTGGCTGACAGACACAGAGCTCCGAAATGAGGAAAGAAAAAAAACAGCCAGGCGGCAGTCGAAACCCGAAACCCTGAAACCCTGAAACCCCGTATCCCTGTATCCCCGGAATACAGAAACCCGGGACTTTCGACGGACCCACGCGCGAACGAACCACAAGCCCCGAAAACTCAAAACGCCTCCCAAACTGTCGAGGATCCACGACGTTTGGCTGTAAATGTGGCTGTGGCGCTGGCTGGCTTCCTTCCTTCCTGCCTTCCTTCCTGGGCAACTTCCGTGTTTTGTTTCCTGCAGTTTTTCGTTTATTTGCATACACATGCCGCGCGCGTATGCCGCGTGCAAAATCGCGCAAATAATAATAAAAAATCAAAAGGCAGACGGAACGAACAGGCACGGAAAAAATTCTGACGAGCGAGGAGAGGAGTGTGGGAAGAAGCGAGAGCAGCGCAAATAAATTGGCAAAAATATTGAAAGGACGAAAGGAGAAGGCTCCCAGCGCCATGGGCCCAACGAAAATAATGAGGAAAATTCTCAAATTGAAATTACATACAACATTTTTTCTGCCTCCCCCGTTTCTACTTTTCCCTTTCCCTTCCTCCTTTTTTCGCCAGGAGTTTTCCACAGAGTTTTCTTTCCTTAGAACATGGAAGTTATTAGCGACAATTTACTTCGATCATGTTCATGGCAATTACCTTTAGATGAGCACATCAAAACGTATTAAGTAAATGTTGTTGCAGGAGCAATTTGCATTTCCGGAGCTCGGAAAACTCGCATCGACTCAGTTATCGGACACGTGACGGGGAAAATTCTGTTCATCAGGCCAAAGCGAATTGGTTTTCAAATTGAAATGCGCCAGTAAAATCGTATTAACAAAGTAATTCACTTCGCTCACATTCTATATAATTGAACTGACAATTGTTTGGAATTTGCCAGGCCTCAATTTAATTGTTTATCATCGGGGGAACACTTAATTATTTTTATTCAGTCAGTTGAAGCATACAATTATGGTTTTTGCAATTTCCTTTATTACTTTCATACGCCCGCTGTTCGGAAAATGAAAATCATGAATTTTGATTTGATTACGAATTTCAACAAAATTTTCAAAAACTCCAAAGTTGAGTTGATTAAATTTATAATTTAATTGCAAAGAGAGCTGATTTTAAAAATTTAAATTTTAATTGCACATAGAGCTGATTTTTCTATGAATAAACTATTTTATTTAGCTAATTAGAGGCGTATAAAAGTAGATGAATATTCTATGTGAAACACAGTTTTCGATTTCCATATCCTATTTCCCATTTCCATTTGCGAGTTTGCCATCAGAGAATCAGAGAATCGTGCAGCAGAAAACTTCTCCCTGTGGTTGGGCATATACAGTGGCCACTGGCGGTGGTGCACCAACCACAACGGTGGGCGGTGGACGTGGTGCTCCGATGACGACAGCTGGCGGTGGCGGTGGTGCAATCACCACCGGCGGTGGTGCAAACCCAATGCCCACGCCCATTGGCGGAGGCGGTGGTCCGCCGATATTTATGCCGACATTCACTCGAGGCGGCGGCGGTCCGTAGGCGATTCCAGGAGGCGGTCCTCCGTATCCACGTCCTGGTGGTGGCATCTCGACCGATGGCTAGCAACTGACTGACCGACTGACCAGCACCTCCGCCGAATCATTTGGGTTCTTATCTGGGTTGGCTTCTTTTGCCTCGAGTGTCCGCCGGTAATTAACTATCGATTACTGTGATTTTTTCGGGGGCTTCTGTTTCCGCTGATTAGATATGCGATAGGCGGAGCTTAAGTTCCCAGGCTGATAAGAGAAACACTTGGTTACTGATAAGATTTGGATACTGAATGCTATTTCTGATTCACTTGCCTCGGGGAAAGCCCCTGACTTCTGAACTAGGATATGGTGCACTTGCAAGGGCAACACTTTCGTTTCGGTGGTTCGGTGGGTAAATCTCGTTTTTGCATCGGCGGTGGCTGATTTGATTCCTGGATTCCCTGCTCCTGCTGCAGTCCCTCAGCCAAAGCTGCACTCACGGAATACCTCTTGCCGGACTTGTCGTTTTGTATCGCGGAAACCTCACCCACTAAAACGGTTCCAATGGGTGTGGCCGGTTGAATTACTTCTTCGGTAACTTCTATCACCTCGGTAACATTTCCATTGTTGGCAGACTCTACAATTACCTCCCTTTGCACCACTTCTATGTAGGGAGGATCATCTATCACCAGATCTGTTAGGATGAAGTTGTTGAGTGGCTTTTGATTGGGTTTGGCGGGTGGCAAGGCAACTGGCGTAACATCCACAGACTCAACAATCACTTCGGATTTCCCTTGATTCAACGGAGGTATTTTCAGTTTCAGTGGTGGACTGGGAGGCGGTGAGGGGGTGGGGGTCACCTCCAGGGATTCCACAATCACAGCCGTTTCCGCTAAACTCGGCCTGGGCAGGAAACCCCCTTCAATTGGCCGTTGACTAGTTGGACTGCCGGGTGGCGAATTAACTGGTGTTACTTCGATAATCTCCACATAAGCCTCGGCTTCACTTAAACTTTCCACCTCCACCGCTGGACTTTGTTGAGCGGTGCTGTAAGGAGTGAGTTCCTCAACCACCACATAGTCATCAGGTTCAATTAGACTTTCCCGGGAAATAAAGGGAAACCTTTCCGGTGGCGGCGATGATGATGGTGTCACTTCCAGGGATTCTACCACCAGTTCTTGCACCAAACTTGCACGTGGCATGTAATCAGTTGTCACTATTGATTGAAGTGGAGGATTTGGCACGACTTCTATTTCCTCTACAATTGTTTCCACAACTCCACCCTGTGGTGCATAACCATTTCTTAAAATGGATTGTTCTGGTTCTGTGACTTCAATATCCTCAACAACACTTTCAACAAAGCCAGTCTGAGGAATAATGTCAGTTTCCTGATAAACTTGTTGATAGGAAGGATTGACCTCTGTAACTTCTATATCCTCCACAAATGATTCTACAAAACCTGATCGAGGTGGAAAGGAAATAGGAAGTGGTGGCCTTGGTGGAGGTTCAACTTCTTCCGTGACTTCTATATTTTCCACTACTGACTCCACAAAACCAGATTGAGGTGGGAAATCTATTTGAAGAGGTGTCTCTACTGGGGAATCTACTTCTTCTGTGACTTCAATATTTTCCACAATCGATTCAACCAATCCTGTTTGGGGAGTTATACTAATCGGAACTGCAGGTTGTATAGGTTCCACTTCTTTAGTGACTTGTATACTTTCCACAATAGATTCTACAAATCCAGATCGAGGAAGATTTTGATTTTGTACTTGGGGTCTTAATGTAGGATATACTTCTGTAGTTATTTCTATGTTTTCTACAATCGTTTCCACATTGCCTGTTTGGGGAGGAAAATCATTTTGAACGGGAAGAAGAAAGGGAGGATTCTCTTCTTTAATGACTTCTATATTTTCCACAACAGATTCCACAAACCCACTAGGAACACTGCTTTGTACAGGAACTTGTAATACAGGTTGAGGTGGTATGACTTCAATGTTCTCAACAACTGATTCCACAGAAACTGGACCTGAATCGAAACCATTTGTTGGTAGCAGAAATGGAGAATCATCTGTCGTGACATCAACCTTCGCCACAATTGTCTCCTCAGAATCAAAACCATTTGCAGGAAGGAGAAAAGGGGATTCAGCTTCTATATTTTCTACTGTTTCCACAACCACATCTCCAGAAGGAGGAGCTTCATTTACAACTTCAATATTCTCAGTGATCGTTTCCACCAAACCTGATCGAGGATAGTAACTTTTTGGAGCTGGAGCCTGAGAAGAAGCTGCAGCAACTTCAATGTTCTCCACAATTCTCGCCACAAATCCTGGCTGTGGAATAAATTCCGGTTCCTGTTGGATTTGAGCAGGAACAACCTCAACTTCTACACTTTTCACAATAGTTTCCGGTGGGTTAATATTCACTCTGGGAATGTAACCAGTGGGGGGAAGAGAACTCGCCACTGGTTCCACAAAAATATCTGTTTGCACCACTTCTGCGATGGGAGAAAGTGGTGGCTGCTGAGCCGCTGGAAAGAATCCTGTTTGCACTTGGAGTTGAGGAGGAGCATAAGGCGGAGGATCCAGTTGCTCAATCACTATTTCCTCCTCCACAACTCGAGTGTGCTTTTTGCTCTCCCTGATGGTTTCCTTTGTCTCCGTTTGCCAAACCACAGTGGTGAATTCATCCGAAGCGGAGGTTGTGCCCAGAATCTCCTCTGTATCCACGACATCCTTCTCCGCTGAGAGATCCAAATCTATGGAGGGATTTGAAGATGTCTGGTTCCAGACTGCCTGAGGTTCCCAAACCACATTGAAACCCACTTCCTCGGTGGGTGTGAGAAAAGGTGGTAAAGTCTGCGGCAGCGGCGGTGGTGGTGAAGACTTCTGCTGGCGGTGGTGGTGGTGGTGGTGCTTCCTAGGCTTCGGTTCTTGGTTCTCCACGAGAATCACTTCCTCCACAACTTCGACATTCTCCTGTCTTTCCTGATGGTGATGATGGTGCCTGTGGTGATGATGATGTCGGTGCTTTGGTTCTCCGGATCCTTCGATATCCACTATCTCGATGGTCTCCTGGATGGAGCCACTACTCGTGGCAATCGTTTCTATCGTTTCGTTAACACTTCGCTCCTCAACAATGGTCGTTTTCATTTTGTCGATCGTTTATTTTCCCGTCTCGTTTTGCCTGTGCCCATTAACTGAAACCCAAAACGCTTCGCTCGGCCCATTTATACTCGGTGTTTATGTCATGGGAAATGTATTTTCATGCGCTAAATCCTTGGACAGATAAGATAGTTACTGTATCTAAGCAATGCGGCAAGCATTTGTCTTCGACCCCGTCGTCTGTGTTTGGCCCTCTGCAAATGGTTAATGGACTCGTGTTTGATCGAATGTTTGGAACACGGATATTTCCCTATTGCTTACTGCTCGAATTCGAATTCTTCGCCTGCTGATTCTGGTTCTTGCGTCGCTGATTGTTGGCCGCTGAACCGGCGATTACCGTGAAGGTGGCTGGCGGAATTCCGGACATGTTGCTGGCACTTAGCTCTTTGCCCGATTGCCGATTGCCGGCCATTCCTCTACTTTTTATAGGCCACCCGCGACGCGCCGTTCGATAAGATAGTAATTACTTCGAAGCTGCTCCGCACATTTGGCAGACCTACCCAGTATCTCGTATATATCTCTGGTGTATATATATCCGGGGTCCCCGGCCTTTGTCTCCCAGGTTGTCAGAGTGCCAAGTGGGCGGGGCCACGCCCACTCGCCGGCTCTCTTGGCACTCGAACACGTCCCCGGTTGTCGGGGATTGTCATTAAATATGCAGGTTACCAGTGCCAATGGTGCCAAAATCCACTCCACCGGCTTTCGGCCAAAAGTGGCACGGGAAAATAGTCAACGGGGAAAGGCAGGAAGGATGTGGATGTGGATGTGGGGGATGTGGATGAGTCTGGGAACTGTTAGCAGGGATTAGTTGTAGTTTGCCCCATCCGGAGGAGTTTTTCGGGGATCCCAGATACGCCAGGGCGGCTTTTTAAAGATGCAGCATTACCCAGGTACGTGCCACTCGGGCCACTCTCCTTTTGGCTCTTTAGTTCTTTGGTTCTTTGGTTCTTTGCTTCTTTGGTCCTCCCATTCTAAAACTTCTCTAGTTCTTCATCTCCAACCACCCAACGCCTCGAAAGTGGTGTAATGTGCCTTGAAGTGTGCCAGAAAGCTGTTTTCCTTCCACCCACTCGCTTGTTTTCCCAACAGCTTGGGGCTCGGCACGTCGCTTTAAATATGGTATACGGATAGTATGTGAATGCATGTGAACACACACACACACACACACGGGCAAAGGGTGTTGAAAGTAGTTGGTCTTGAGTTAGGGGAAAGCACTTTACGCATATGTTAAATAGGGCCAATTGAAGCGCTTTCTGCACTCCAAAACAGATTACGTATACGAAATGTGGCTCTTAAAGCTTACTCTTGGCTGAAACCTTGGCTATGTCTTCACCTAAAATGGTTGCTACCCCTTTAATATATTTTTTACAGTTATACCAAAGGTTACTGGAGAGGGGAGCCACCCGTATCTATTGATTTATCATTTGTTTTTGTCAATTGATAATTATTTGATAACATACTTTACTTTTTGTTTACAGTCATTTTTGAAACCTCCTTAAGGGCTTATAAGGCGACCTAGAGTTTTCAAACCTTGAACTGATAATTTGTTCATTCAATAAGTAAGATTCAAATTATTGTTAAAAAATTGGTTATGCCAATTGGTATTTAAAGAGATAACTTTATGAAATTATTAAATGCAGCAGTGATTTATCAGTCAGGTAATTCCCTATGATTATTAGAAATAATAGTCATTCGGACAATTATTATAATTATAGCAATGAGTAATTAATATCTTATCTATGGATATTATTATATCATTTATAAAATTATTAAATATTTTTTAAATTGTAAACTATACAAATAGTAAGTTTATTTTGATTGTGGAATTTTGTGTCTGCTCTAATTCTACCTAAAGCTATTTGCAATTAAATCTCATTTAATGGATTTAATATGTACTATTTTTTATGCTCATTGTGCTATTAAACTATTTCCTCTGCTGAACTACTTTTCAACACAATTTTGTCGTTAAAATGCGTGTTATGTAAATTTCTTTGGGACTTACTTGGGATTCATCTTGGCCAGCAGCTGGGAACGGATGCGCTGTCGCTCGTCGTCGAACTGCTGCAGCTGCTGCTGCTCCGTCTGGCGCTCCCGCTCGATGCTGGCGGAGAGCTCGTTGTTCATCTCGACGTGATTGTGCTCCGCGTCCAGGTGGGTCTGGGTCTGGACCGTCTCGTACTTGCGATCGTCCTCGGCGATGTTGAACACCTCGCTCAGCTCGTACTCCTTCAGCTGGAAATACAGAGGAGCAGAGGGGGGAGCGTGAGGATGGAGTGTTAGTCCCCGTTTGCAGACACATGTGCAGCATATTAATTTACGGGGATTATGTGCCCGGCATCAGCAACTCGGTGCACGGGATGTGGATGTGGATGTGGATGCGGAATGCCGAGCCAAGGGACACGCCACCCAAGGACCACGGGTACAGGTGCTCTTAACGCGCTGCTAATTTCAATTTGTGGCAAATATTGACACAGCCACCGGGGTGCAGCAGCCGTATGGAATGGCCACGAGCTTCAATGGAATTAGAGGGTACCAAATGTGGATTTCTATGGGGTTTAGACAGCACAAACCTCCTTGGAAAATCTTAGGATAAACTTAAGTAATATGTTCTCTAAAGAAAGTTTATTCTGCAGAAGAACTTAATGATGACTTGAAATTAAGTTAAAAGATAGAAGAAATTTCCAGAAATTTCTTGAATAGGTTTAGGAGTCTGTCCAATGTTCTTCAAACTGGTCATCCTATTTATTATACCCCACATTCCACAGACACTTCGAGGGTATCAAAAACTTTGTTTGGTGCGCTGTCGCGCATTTTAATTTATTTGTTTGGGCCGCTGTCATTTTCTATACACAATACGCATTGTTATTGTTGTCCCCTCCACGTTTTGGCTGGCTTATCGTGGTCTACCTTTTGCTACCTACATTCAGCAAACGCGTCGACAGCGGCGCCAACAACTACAGGCGGAAAAAATCTAAGGCAGCAGCAAAAAAAAAAAAAAAAAAATAGAACACAAACAACAAATCCAGGCAAAACAAAAACAGTGCTGAGGAGACGCGTGTTGCTTTTGTGGCATTAAAATACACAATAATCCAGCGCACACGAAAAGCTGGCACGCGGTTGGGGCTGGAAAAACTGTGAAATTCCTTGTGGATTACCCAGACGGGCGAGTGAAACCCTCAGCATTCCTGGCTGCCGAGATTACGTGCCTTTCGCCATTCGCCATTCGCCATTCACTAAATGACACAAAAATATGCCGGCGATTCAGTGCTCGGCCCCCCAGAATTTAAGAATTTAATGCCAAACTACCCCCTGCTGTGTTTTCGGGGAAGCAAATCAACACATAATTACACTAGGACCTGAGACATGTGCTGGCCATAAAATAACGCATATAAGTAAATAACTTTCCATTCTGTTAGATTCTGTTGGCCATAAACAAAAGGCGGCAGACCCGAAATGGCAGACTTTTAGTTTAACAATTGCGAACTTTGATTGCCCTGGGGAAGCTGTTGGCAGAAAGTTTTATAAGTGCCAAACACTTGGCGTTGGCCAGTCAAGAATGAATATTTAATCTTTTATTACCAATCAATTGAAGCTAATTGAATTTTATATTATTTGCAGGGCGATTCGTTGATTGGACAAACAAATCTAAATACTAAAAATTACTTTAAGGTTGTTATTAATTCACACCAAAGCTAAGTATACCCTTCTAGCTAAAGTACCCTACCGAAAACGCCTCCAAGGGAAGTGGATGCTATCACACGCCCACTCCGAAAAGCCTAGAAAATAAAACTAAAATTAGTAGTGTCAAAAAGGCGTTACAATCATACGAGCTGCAGCCACAACGCACAGAGCTCCACCAACAAATAAAGAATAATGACCGCACGTACTGTGGGCAGCCACGCCCACTCGCCCATGTCCACGTAGCAATTCCCCGTTCTATACGATGTATATGTATAAACTGCCCCTATGAAATAAACTATGCAAACGTAGTCGAAACATCTGGCTGAAGGCGAGAGGGGGTAGGAAAATGGCGGGGGGAGGGGGAGTTGGGGAAAATGGAATGGCAGTGCCCGGGGCATAAATTTTATGTGCGCTTCCTTCGGCCACACATAAAAGCAATTTTGATGAGCGACCCAAGGCATTGGAGCCGTAAGTGCGCCACTTTCTGGATCTCTTGGATGTCCAGCAATATAATTACAATGCTCGAATTCCAACCTCCCTTTCCCTGTGTATATCCTTCCCCTCTCTTTCCCTCTTCCCCTCCCTTTCCCTCCCCACAATTGGGGCGTTTTTACTGCCGTCGAGGGTTCTTTGTTGCACTGCTCAGTGGCGGCGGAGAAGGTCCTGCCTGGGTCCTTTGTGTCTGGCAGGCCTAATGGATTGGCATTTATTAAGGAGTGCAGAATAATGTTTATTGCAGCGCTTGAAAACAATGGCAAAAACGGCTGTGCCGCCATAAGGATAATGCAGGACATGTTTCGGTGCGGAAGGTGAAATGATTTCCTTTACGGTTCTAGTTATAATAGAATAAGTTCAATTGGAAATCGTTTCTCTTAGAAGTGGTAAATATTTTAATACGATAGATTATTGATATTTGTGTTGCAAACAAATATTCATTTACCATTTCGAAACTGAAATATTTAAATTAAAACCTAAACCAAATGAATTTCAGCTCCCTAGCTTAATATTTACACTAATTTATTCAGAATATAATCGATATACAGCGCATATCCCATAAATTAGTCTAATCAAATTCAGCTAATAACATTATTCATCCAAAGATAATTTACATACTGGTAATTTCTAATTCAATGACTTCCTATTTGATCAAAAGTCCAATTAAAGTCAATTATGAAATGCATTTATAAACGCAATTAAAAAGCAAACAATTACCATTAACATCGAACACAATAAATACTAAACTAACAACCGATTTTAAAAGAAATATTAATGGCATTAATTTGAAGATAATAAAATAAATGTCAATAAATGTCTTTTTAAATTCCATAAATTATAATTCAATAACATTTTGCGTTAGTTTTACATGCTGAATGCCCCCAAATGTATGCTACAAAATTCTTTAAATATGAATTTTTATTCCCGTGACTGTCAAACTGTTTTAATTTGTTTACATTTCCTCTTAACACATTTTCGCATGCCCATGGAATTCTGGCCCAAATAATTATAAGGTAATTAGCATTATTTCCGGTAATTTTTTTCGCTGCCCATTTCGTATTCCGTGCGCTCTTTTTTCTCCTCGATCCGAGCTGCGAACTCAACTGATTTATAAAGCGCATTAACACGCAGCCAAGGGAATTCGCCCTTTGCACGCACACCCTCTCACTACCACACACACACACACACAGAGAGACACGCACAGCCATTACACATGTTTGCATGGCGAGAAAAGTGGCTGGTTTGTTTATGTGTGCGTGTGTGTGAGAGTGTGGTAGATGCTGTTGACGCCATTGCACTATGTTGAATTTGACCCGTTTTTGTGGCCAAAACTCATTTTTCGCGAGTATGCAAATTTCCGTTTTTTTAATTTTACTAGGTTGAGAAATGATCAAATTGCTATATTGTATACCTCAAATGTTAATTTGACAGTTTAGTGTTAAAATAACAGCTGCTAAAGTCAGCTGTTGCAAGCGCAAACCACGTGCTGTTTTAAATGTTAAATTTGTGGTGCAATTTCAAATTGGCATATCTCTCACAAAAAGTCATTAAATAATAAAATTCAAAATGAATATTATTTCTTCAGGTTAGTACTATGTGTTGATACTAATATGTTGCGTGTTTTGTTCGTATTTTTCTAACAATTTGTATATTTAGCAAGTGTTGTCTCCTTGTCACTTTTGAAAAAACAGTTGAACTTTCCAAAAGGTTTTAAAAAAAAGGTTCAAATTGTATCAGTGAGTGTCCATATACATGTTGTAGATCTTTCAATTCTGAATTCAAAAAATATAAGCTCATTATGCGTTTTTTGCGGTTTTCTGCGTAATTTGAATTATTAGGGAGCATATATTAGGAAGAATACATAGAATAATACAAAAAAAAACATTTTTTTTGTCTTGAATAACTTCCATATTTATTATCCGATTTGGACCAAATTTGCAGGACGCATTTGAAATAGGACATTTATAATGTGTTTCAAAATTGGGGTCTCTAACTTAAAAATTGCTTTAGATATTCGTTTTTTTTCCATTTCTGTGGGCGGAGGAAGGGGCGTTGACACGCCCACTTTTCTAAAATACGTTCCTATAGTAATAACATTCATTATACAAGAAACCTGCATTCAAAAATCTTGTTAATTTCAAAAATTTTAATTTTGGCCACAAAAACGGGTCAAATTCAACATAGTGCATTGTAATGCTAATGGCTCATTAGCACTTTGATTTTTTCGCACTGTATTTTTTTGTTTTTGGAAAAAGTCATTAGGGTTTCCCCGAGAGAAGCGAAGTGAAGTGGGTGGTGGGAAAAGGCATTTTGACTGCTAATTTGCTGTTAATTAACTTGTTTAACCTTTTTTTTTTGGAGGGTACAAAGGATCGTTTCCCGTTCACTCACCTTGATAAACTGAAACGTGGCGATGGGCGGCAATCGCTTGCTCTTCGGGTAGTAAAAGCTGCCCGCAGGATGGGCAGGATAACGCGAGGTGATCCGGTAGATGACGCCCTGAGGAGCCGTTGGCCAATTGGGCGCCGTGAAGGTGAACCCATTATCCGTGCCCGCATCCAAAGGATCCAGCTCAACGGTCACCGTATCGATCCAGGAGCCACCCACGCAGAGCTGCAGGTTATAAAGGAGCGTGTTAAGGATGCTGTGATTTTAAGAAGTGTAAATTTAACTAAAATTAAGTGAACACTTTAAATAGTTTAACAAATGCATTAACTCAGGTTATGCCTTTTTATTTTATCGCAAAGCAAATAAATCAATCGTTAACAATTGAATACAAAAGTGTGAAAAAAATAATAATAATAAAGAGAATTTACTGTCAACATATAATTATTAACAATAACATGCAACGCTGCATTTAAGCCAAAAAAAAACCTCTATATTAACAGAAATATTCAACCATACAAATTTAAAAATTGGTGTTCAGTTGCAATGGACATTAATCCACTTAAAGATCTATAAACATTTTGATTTATCGTTTGAAACTCTTTCTATCCTTTCTCTTGTTGTTCTACCACTTTTTGGCAGTATCATCATCTGTGGGCCTTTTGAGCTGATGCCAGTGCCTATTGAATCTGCGGCACCGATGCCATTCAAAACTATGATTTTAGCGCTTTCGGGGCTTATGCTCTCACCTCGAACGAGTCCACGCCGATGAACCAATCCGGCGAGGGAACAATGCGTGTCATTAGCGAGACCAGACTGTGATTGCTGTCGACAAACACTTTCGCCTCGCTGCGTCCGGCGCCCAATGGAATCGCCGGCATGCTGAACTCGTCGAACACGCTGCGTTCATTGTTGTTGGTGGTACTGCTGGTGGTGCCACCACCGCTGGTAGATGTGGTGTTAAAAGTAGTGGTGCTGCTGCTGCTGGTTGCACCTGGCGGGGATATTCCCGTCAGCATCTGTAGCTGCATCTGCTGCTGCTGCTGCTCGCCGGCGCTGCTGTCCAGGAGATCCGTTCGCCCGGATTCCGCAAACTGTTTGACAGCCGCCGTCGCCGGCTGTCCGATGTGGTACAGTGCATAGTTGGCGTTGTGGGTGCGACCTGCGGGCGAGAATGAGAGAGGGGAAACCGAGAAACCAGCTCATCAGTCGGGGGCCATTCGAATTTAATGAGCTCTCAAAACCAAACAGAAAGAAATGCTGAAAATTTGCAAATATTTGCAATTTAGCAGCTCGTTGTCGCTTTGCGCCATACACCCTCCCCCTCCCCCATCCATTATCCCCCTACGTTTGAAGATATTTTGGGGGATTTTCAACGGTCTGAAATGGTGTCAGCTTAAGTGGCAGATTACGTATACGCAATGGCGGGCGTCGAGTTAAAGCGACACTTTTTCAGCCAAAGAGCTGTGCACGTTAAATGGTTGCCAGGGAAATGGGTGTGGGAAATTGGGAAAACACTTGAACGTATGGAATGGAGTGGCAATAATGAAAGGGGGAGTTGTGTTAAGAGGGCAACGTGAAATGCGTCTGGGGTGAAAATTAAAATATTTTAAAAGAAAGTTTATGTGGCTGCAGAAACAAAAAATAAATTTGAAGGGCTTACGGTTACTGTAGAAAAAAGTTTCTTTTGAAAAATATTCTTAAATTTAATTTATTTAATTTTATTTTTGAGCTATTTGTAACAGGGTTTCTGTTCTGCTAATCTACGATGCCTGAACTTTATCTGGATAAAGTTTAACCTTCGGCTTTCACCTAGATACTTTTTCGCACCATTTGTGTTTCTCTTTTTCTTTTTTTTTATCCCAGACCGCAAGTAATTTAAAACTGCAGCGTTCCAGTTCAGTCTGGGCCTCAAAGTCATTGGGGTCCTGGCAGACTGTCACATGACCGAAAAAAAAAGAAACCGCCGACTGAAACCCCACCGAATCCACCATCGAGGCTCTCCTCAGATGCAGCGGCCTTTGATGTTGTGGCTGCGGCTTTTAGTTTGCACGCTCCTCTTTGGAGGTCTCGGGATGTCGGCCTCTTCGAGTTACCCAAACACCAGAGGCCCTCAGCCGAGTCTTATTTGTCTTCAATTAACATTGCAACATGCCACTTGTGCCACTTTTTCGCCTTTGTCTTCTTTCTGTTTCTGCCATTTCATTCGGAGATATTTCCTTTGCGCTTTTCATTTCGCTCCCTTTCCGCTTTGCTGCTGCCGGCTTATTTATTAGTTTTTGCCCGCTCTCTCTGTGGGCGCATTTTTAATTTACAAGTTTTCCGGCGAGTGTAAGACGGCGAACTTCTTTGACAAAAGCCGTGACGATGATGGCGATGGCGATGGCAATGGCAACGGCGGCTAATGAAAGACTAAACTACAAAGCATATTTTTGCCTTTTCAACTTTGCCGCTGGCTTTCAGCACTGGGTTTTCATTCCATTTTTTCTTTCTCCCTGGGAACTATGTCAAATGAAATATTATTTATTCGGTGGCATACTTTGCCCCACCTGCCAGGCACTCTGGGTAATTGACAAGTTCTGTTGCCGACTCTCGGGTCACTGCTGTCCAATGGATTGGCCCAAAGTTGCCGAAAAGGGTGCGAGGGAGGGGGGTGGTGGGGTTGCGGGGTTGCAGGGGAATTTCTGAAAAGTTTACGGGGATTTCAGCAGATTTACCTGCATGGCAGGGAGCTGAGGAATCGGGCTAATAAATTGACTCTGCGAAACTGTGTCAAATATGCCAGACGAGTTTTCATGTTGTCCTTCAGCATGTACAATTTGCACACATTGCATTCTTATCAATAACACATTCGAAAGCAATGGGAATTTTTCTGCTAAAACTTATTTAGGTTGCATTTTGTTTACTAAAAAAAAAAAACAACATAGATCAGATAACTTAACTGCTCTTATTGTTGCAATACATTGCTTCATTGTAATAGAAAATGCACATTTAACCTTTTAACCTCGTTTCACAACTTTTGATAATTTGACTAAGACAGTTGCAAAGTTCTTCAGATGTCAGCAAACTAAATTTATCTTTTTGACTTTCCCCTGCAACCTGCGAAATGCCGAGAAATTCGTTAAAATAAAGGTCAGCAGAGCACAGCTGTTCACCTTCAGCTGCTTTCGCTTTCGCAGACAAATCCACAAAACGCAAGCACATTCCATATAGTACGTATATAAACCGAACGCAGCGCTCAATCAATTACAGAATGGCCACAGAATAAGCATAATAAATTTGCAATTAAATGCTTAAATTGTGCAAATGGTTTCCCGATATGGTGACGCGCGGTCGACGGTTGGTTTCAGTCGACTTTGGCGGTCTGGTTGCCGCTTAAACGACCGCATATCGTCCATCTCCGAACGGAATTCGGCGGGGCGGAGCGGTCAGATAAATGGGCGATGTAAAAAAGGCCATTTCGGGGCTACTGGCACTGCGATGAATGGCGGGGGCGTAATTAATGCTTAATTATGCACATTAAAAGCCAAAAACAGCCACCAAGCTGGCGGAAATTACTGCCAAGCAGGACTCACGACTCACGTAATATAAATGCATGCCACGTATGCCCCATAAATTTCAGTTAGCATTCGAATGAAAAGACATTGCGCATACGCCCCATGGGCTCTTTTCAAGTACGGGTTTCTTCTATCTATGTAGTATGTGTGTGTGTGTAGGTGTGTGTGTGTCTGGTCATATCATAATTGAAAATCGCCAACCTTGCCCGACCATAACAACATTGATACACATTATCTAAAAAGTGCAATCTGGCAGCTGGCCAAAAATGAAAAACAACTGCTGTGACTCATGGCGAACTTTTCCCTCAGCCAGCGTATGGCTTTTTAATTGGCAGAAAAATATGCTCCGGGGGAGTGGTATTAATAAATGTATAAATCCAACCAATATGACACACATTTCATTCAATTTATGACGCACAGCTGACACACTTTTTCCCACACACTATCTCCCGCACACACAAACACAAACACACACACACATATAATATATACACTCACACACGTTGACTTTTGTCAGGTTTTTCTGTGCGAAAAATGAATTACGAGTCGACGGATTTTTTTGTTTTTCGTCGCTTGTTTTCGTTTGGCTGGATGCTCAATTTCCTGCGATTTCCGCCACGAAAAAATTTAATTATAGGCAATAAATTTGAATTTAATAGTCGAGGCATTAAGTCGCCGCCAGCCGAGGCATTGTCTCTCTCGCATCGAAAAACAGAGGAAAATAGCTCAAAAAACCCAAATAAGAGAAGGAACGTACACATAAATAAGCCAAGAGAAGAAGGATTAATGCAGCAGCTGAACACGACAAGTGCGGAGAAAGGGGAAAAGGGGCAGGAAAATGGGGGGAAAAGCCAGTGAAATGGGTGTGTCAGCACGTGTGCTGTTTGATGGAATGCTATATAGTATGTGTGAGTGTGGCTACGGTTATATCCGATGCTTAAATGTTGAGCCCCGAGGAAGTCAGAAACCCATCAATGCTTAATTTTCCTGGGGGAAAATTAACAACGCTCTGTTCAAACATTGCACGTATGCGTATACGAGTAGGAATATCTGTCCAGAGTGATGCAATCAATCTCGAATGAAACACAAATAATTTACTCTAATATTTCCGTAAGGATTGATGAATAACTTTAATGGGAAACCAGGCCTGGCGCCTGATTGATATCAACTCCAACCGCTCGTTTGCTCTTAAATTAGCAATATGTTATAGCCGGGTTCCCACTCCAAAAATCCCGTATGCATCTATCGAGTTTGACGCTAATTAAAAATTCATTTTTCCCACTCCCAGCGGTTATCTGTTATTTGCCTTTCTACTCACGCAGCACACACTTAATTATGTATGTCAAATTTAATTGGCTTGTCAGTCCAGGCAAATAGCAAACCCGAAACGTCGACAGACACGCTATAAATACATTACACAAGAACAAAACAGAAAAAGTGAGCCACAGGGAAATATAATATAAGCGCCCACCTGGCGTATACGTAATGTGTCTGTGTGTGTGTGTGTGTGTGCCTCATCCACATGCGAATATCATTTTACGCTAAATAAATATTTGCATTTTACCTAATTTTAGACGGCTCATGTGGCGTGCAGCATCCGAAATTTAAGGCACCACAAAAGCTGGGGCGACAGCCCCAAATCTCTGACATTGTCACATGTCAGGCGCTGCAGCTGCCTTAAGACACATCCTGGGATGAGGACACGCCGCCCACAGTGACATTACGCATACGCCGCATATGCTGGCTGCAGAATGCTGAACTTCTCATGCGCTCAATAAACCCAAGGAAGCGGAATGAGCGAATGCGAATGCGAATTCTACTGCAACTGCGACTCTGCCTCTGTTAATAGTAATTTCTGTCATATTTGCCAGTGGAACTTGCAGTCACGACTCCCGATAAAATGTCAACTTGATGTTGCCTGTGATGTGGTAACCTAGATTTCGTTAAGGCACTGGCATCAACACTGACTACGTGGGAGATTTCCAGGGTCTGCCTTTCAGCCGCACCACCCACTCTTGTTCCTTTGCAAACCACAGACACGCAGAGAATGGAAAATCTGACAAGTTCTGGGTGGAGGAAACATTATGTGTTATTTAAATACTGAGGGAAAGATTTAATGATAAGAATTTGTAAGAAAATAAGGGAAAATACAAGCACGGCCAAAGGTTTTTATTTAATGATGCTATTGAGAAGGCTTTTAAAGTGAATAGATTCTTTGGTAAACATAGATAGAAAACCATTCAATTTTGTGAGTAAGCATTTCTTACTATTTCTTCCACTCACATCTTAGATTTTGGAACTTTTTTATCTTTTCTCTCAGTGTTCAGTTTCATTGTCAGCTAGGTGGCCTTCTGGGTTGCTCTTTTAAGTTTAATGGCTGCAGGGTTGAAGGATTTTTAGTTGCAGCTTGCGGCTGCCTCTCCGCTTTATCTGTGTTAATTAATGCGTGCAGCTACATGTCGGGATTAGGCCAAGATCTGCCGGGGCCAGAAGCCATCAGCCATCAGGCAACAGCCAACAGCCTCAGCCATCAGCCGGCCAATTATGTCGGCAAACAAGCAGGCCGGCATTAGACTTGTCACTTGGCCCCATTTCCCCAAGACTC